GAGGAGGGGACACCCGAGGAGGGGACACCCGAGGAGATGCCACCCGAAGGGGTGACGGCAGAGGAGGACCCCGACCCTGCCCCGCGCTCCGGGCAGCAGCTCCCAGGTGAGCCGGGGGGGTCCCGGCCCAGCCCATCCCGTCCCAGGGTCCCCCCCCGCAGTGTCCCCGAAGCCCGGCTTAGCCGCGGTTTGGGCTGTGCCCGAGCCCCGGCCGGGGTCAAACCAGGCGAAAGCGATACCGAAATGAGCCGCGAACGGCGAAGGGAAAGCGCAGCTGCCCCCGCTTCCCCTTTCCCATCCTGTTTTCCCACGTCGGCGATTCCGGCTGTTTGCAGCCTGGGGGAGCCGAGGGGGCTGGGGGAGCTCCCCTCGAGGGGCTGCTCCCCTGGTAGAGATGCCCTTCCGCGGGGACGGACCCCTGGGGTCACCCCATTCCCTCCAAACCCCCCGTGTGCAGGAGATCCTCTGACTCCACCCCTGGGCTCACCCTTGGGGTCACCCTTGGGGTGCTCGGGGTGCTGAGCACGACCCCGGGGGTCCCACCCCCATTGCCACACATCCTTCCCTCCGGGCCACTTCCCAGATCCAGCTTCCAGCAGGGCCCCTGGAGACACAGCAGGGCCAGGGGGGACCTGGGGACTGGGTCCGGCTTGAGGGGGGGCTGCACTCCCCTCTCCCACCCCTCACACCCCCTTTCCCACCCCTCGTGCCCCCCTTTGCTCCCAGATCTGCAGGAACAGCTCTCCCGGCTCCTGGAGCAGCAGGAGGAGCTCACGGGGCAGGTCCAGGAGCTGCAGAGGCAGAACCAGCACCTGCAGGCCCAGGTACCTCCCAGGTACCTCCCAGGTACCTCCCGGGAACCCCGGCCGGGCAGGACCCCCCTCCTCCTCCTTCCTCGTCCCCTCCTCATCCCTGCGGCTCCTCGCTGAGCTCAGGGCAGGGGTTTGGGAGGGAAGACCCCCCTCTACAGCCCCTGATGTCCCGGGGGGGTGGACTGGGCACGGTGGGACCCCCCAGTGAACCCGGGGCTGAGGGGGGGAATTGTCCTGGCGCAGCTGGAGTTGGAGCAGGAGGAGCGGCAGCGCCTCAGGACGGCCCTGGGCACCAGCCAGCGGGCACTGAGGTCCTTCAAGAGAGGTGAGCGGGGTCCCCCCGGCCCCTGCCCAGCCCCTGGCAGCTCCCAGTGCCACCAGTGCCCTGCAACGTCTGGCGAACTGGTGCAGCCAAAGGCCGGGAGCTGCGAGGGGATGGCCAGGGAGGGGGTGTCCCACCCGCGGGGGCGGCTGTGCCAAGGTGTTTATGGTGGCACGTGCCCCCCGTGCTGCCACCGGCCCCCCCCGACCCCCGCTGTCACCGGCAGTGTCCCAGATCGTCGCCCAGGATTACTGGGAGGCGCTGGAGCAGCTGGAGCTGGAGCAGGACCTGCGGCTCCACGCCGAAGCCTTCGCCCACGAGGTGCCCGCAGACCTCGGGCGGTTCTGAGGGTGGGGGGCACCCCCGGGGGGGGGAGAGCGGGGGGTGCTTGTCTCGGCATCCCTTGGCACCCCAGTGCTCGTCCCACCGCTGGATCCCGGGCTGGGTGGGATTCTCCCGGGCACCCACCCTGCCGTGGGGCCGGGGGGGGGTTGCCCCCAGTGCCCCCAAAGCGCATTTCGGTGGCCCGGGGGTCGGTCCCTCGCTGAGCCGGCCCCGCGGGCAGATGCTGGTGCAGCAGAAGGAGGCGAACAGGCAGAGCTCGATCCTGCTGCGGGACGGGCCCGAGGCCCGGGTGGGGGCCGCGCTGCAGGAGCTGGGGCGGCTCAGCCGAGAGCTGGAGGAGACCAGGCGGGAGCAGCGGCAAAGGGTGAGGGGCTGTCCCTGGGGGGGGGGGCTGTCCCTGGGGGGGGGGGCTGTCCCTGGGGATGGGG